TATACACCACTTGAGAAATTGTGCCTCACCTTGGTGTGGGCCACAACCAAGTTAAGACATTACATGCTAGTGCATACAGTCTTTGTAGTCTCTCAGTTAGATCCACTCAAGTATCTATTCGAGAAATCTACACTCAATGGACGCATATCGAGATGGATAGACAATTTAGCCCAGTTTGGTGTAAGGTTTATGCCGCAAAAAGCTATCAAAGGATCTGATGTGTCAGACTTTCTAGCGGACTTTCCAATAGAAGACTCGACGCCAATACAAGACAATGAATTTCCAGATGAAGACTTAATGGTCACTGAAGATGATACTTGGACCTTATACTTCGACTGAGCCTCAAACCAAAAGGGATGTGGCGTTGGAGTTTTACTAGTATCACCTAAAGAAGAGAATGTTCCAATCTCCATAAAGCTTGATTTCGACGTTACCAACAACGCTGCTGAACACGAAGCATGCGTGGTAGGCCTTGAAACAGCTTTGGCATTGGGAGTAAAAAAGTTACGGATATTCGTAGACTCTTCATTAATCATCAATCAAATCTCCAAAAGGTGGAAAGTAAGGAGCAAAAGTCTAGCCCCTTACCAAACCTATCTGGAAAGTAAGAAGGTAGAATACACCTATCTACCTAGAGAAGAAAATCAATTTGCTGACGCCTTGGCAAGACTAGAATGGTTAGGATTCCTACGGATATCGAGCAAATGCCTCTAACTATAGAAAAAATGCACAAACAAGCATATATTCAGGCTATAGAAGATGATGAAGTAATCCAAGACGAAGAAGAAGAAGAAGAGCCGTGTGTAGGGAATACTTAAAGCATTACCCCAAACTTGAACCCCAATGTTATCATAAACTTAAGTACGGTGGTGTCCAAAGGGAAAGAAGATAGAGCAAAAGAGTCGCCAACAAGTTTTAGGAACTTGTAAACCATTCACGAGGTGAAGGTTACACCCCTTAACGATCCAAGAGATCGTCAACTCCATAAGGTCTTGAACCAAATAAGGTTCGGGGATGAAGGTACAAATCCAACCTAAAAGAGATTGAACCTGCCCTGATAATATGCCTCTACTTTATTCTGATCGTATTCATGTGCGCTTTCTGACTAACATGCAATCAATAGGTTTACCCTAAACCCGTGTATCTATGTTGGTTGAATATTAATGCACAAATAAATCTATTATTGGCGATCACTTGAATTATAATCAAATTAACCCTAACAAGATTATTAATTATCTTATTAAGCGTGATTACAAGTACAAATTTCCTTTAAACATGCATAAAAGGCATGATCAAGCAATAAAAATAAAAATATCAAGCAACATAATAATAATCATAAAATAATTAAAATAATAATCATGATAATAATAATAATAATAATAATAATAATAATAATAATAATAAAAATTATAATAATAATAATAATAATAATAATAATAATAATAATAAAAAATAATAATAATAATAATAATAATAATAATAATAATAATAATAATAATATAATAATAATAATAATAATAATAATAATAATAATAATAATAATAATAATAATAATAATAATAATAATAATAATAATAATAATAATAATAATAATAATAGCAAGATCCTAGGCATGATACTAACAAGATTAATAACAAACCTTAGCATGTCACTAAGCACTAAAAATCAAAGCTTCAACCCTAACATGATACTAACATGAATAAATATTAAAAAGAACATAAAAGGCATCACAAAAATCATACTTGATATTAAAGTTACCCTAGACATGATACTAGGAATCATAATAACAATCTAAGCATGATTTCTACATCATAATATCAATTAAACCATTAAAGTACTTACTTGGATGCCTCGTACCTCTTTCTAATAACAAAATACACACGTTAGTACCTTCAAGGAAAATAATAATCAAAACAATTAAATTAAATAATTGAAGGAGAGATTTGGGACCAAACCCTCCGAAATTAAACCTTTCACGTCTAGGGCGAAGACAACTTCGAATATGGCTAGGTATTTCTAAATCTAATGAATGTGGAATTTTTATATTTGTGAAAAAGCTAGTTTAGAAAAGAGAGAGAGAGAGAGAGTAATCAAGAGAATCTTGATGAGAGTTGGTGAGAATTAGAAAGAATAAGAATTGATGAGAATTGATGATTGAAAACAGAATTTTAAGAGGCTATTCATAGAGAAAATCAGCCAAAAAGATAGAAAAACAAATCAGAGTTTCGACGAGAATAAAACTCGATCGCAGCGTCAAACACGCGCCTGGCGCCAAACGCTGGTTTCTAGCGCCAGACGCTACACTTTGGCGTCAGACGCTAGGCGTGGCGCCAGGCGCTGGAAAGCAATTTTTGCGGATTTATTTTTTATCATATCTTTTGATCCAGAAGTTTAAATAAGTCATATAATATGTCGTTGGAAAGCTCTTGAAATCTACTTTCCAACCCAATTTCAATCAAATTAAAATATATTTTAGATAAAAAGATATGTCCGAAATAGTGGAAGGGTGTCAGTTTTGGATAGAGTTTCATGTCTCATTCTTATCTTTTTCGTTATAAATCGGATTTAATATTATAATATATCACTGGAAAGATAATTTAAATATCTATCCAACAATTTAAAATCTGGATAAAGATTATGCGTCACGAAAATAAAATCTTAATATATTCCACTTCGTACAAAACAAGGATTCTAAAAAGGAGTAGTTTTATTCAATTTCAAACTCTTTAAAATATAATTATCAATCCTAACTCCATTAGGATTTAAAATAAACTTCTAGAATATTCTAGAAGACTATAATAAATCCTAATAGCTTTAGGAATGATAATTAATAATAGGCCTTCCTGTAGATCATTGGGCCGCATATAAAAACCAAATCGGGCCCAGTTTAGTATTTTGGCCATAACTTCCTCATTATTCATCGGAATTGGGCTTATAATATATCGTTGGAAAGCTCTCTTCAAGCCCTATCCAACTACACTACTATTGGAACCATATCATGGACCAACCAAACTGGATTGGCTATTTTCTTAAAATAGGTTTTAAAAAATAGAGAGAAGAGAAAAGAAATTAAAATTATCCGCAACACTAAACTTTCCACACTTTCACTTCATTCGATTATGATTCGACGTGAAAGGTACTCATCACTGGGTTTGGTTTTGGGGAGACACAAGTGGGTGTCTACACCGTGGTACACGGATATACTCAACTACGTCACCAAAGGAGAATGCCCTCCGCTTGCTGACAAAATAGTATTGGTGCTCAGAAGAAATTTGGCCCTTCCTGGACTTGGGTTTGTAACTATTGCTGCTCTCCTAAGGGTAGGATTTGGGTTGGCTGGAATGCTGATGGAGTTACTGTGAACATTGTGCAAATCCATGAGCTGTTCATTCATTTCATTGTATGTAACAAAGACTTATCTTCTCTGATTCAGCTCAGCTTTGTATATGGTATGCACTCTATCCATTATAGGCTTCCTCTTTGGGAAGGTATTAAAAACATGTCTTTGCAGCAGATTCCTTGGTTATGTGTTGGAGATTTTAATTCTATTCTTCACTCTCAAGATAGGCTCATGGAAATGATGTTACTGAGTATGAAACTAGAGATTTTCAGAATTTTTTTGATGAGCCAGATCTTACTGAGATTAAGAGTAAAGGGGCTTTTTAATCTTGGTCAAATAAAGCTCATTCTAGTCCTAGGACTCTTATTAGGATTGATAGAGCTTTTGGTAATGAAAGTTGGCTTGATGTTTATGGGCATGTGGAGACTGTTTATCTTGCCCCTTCCTTGTCTGATCATAGTCCTTTACTCATTGATATTTGTTCTGCTCTTACTGGAAGGGGAGGCCCTTTAGATTCATGAACTATATTGCAGATCACCCTGATTTCATAGACATTGTCTCCCATTTTTGGAATACTGGCAATGTTAGAATCTGGCAGAAGCTTAAAGTTGTTAAAGCTAGTATCAAATCTCTTAACTGCAAGCATTTTGGCAATGTCTCTGAGAAGATTGATCAGGCTCACAATGATCTTTTAGACATTCAGAACATGATTATTCAGAATCCAGATGACAGTGATCTCCATGTTAAGGAAGCTGATGCTATTACAGTTGTTAAGCATTAGACTGATATTTAGGAAAGCATTTTCAAGCAGAAATCTAAAATTAACTGGATTACACTTGGAGATGGAAATTCTCACTATTTCTTTTATGTGATGAAGACTAGACAAGGCAGGAACAAGATAGATTCTATCTTTGATTCTAATCAGGTTTTGCTCAAGGATCCTGCTGCTATTACAACTGAAATTCCTGATTTCTATAAGTCTCGCTTAGGGACTAAGGCTTCTTGTCTCCCTGCTGTTGATTTGGTCACTATGAGAAGAGGTAAGCAGCTTAGTTTTTCTGCTCAGTGGTTTCTTATTCAGCCTGTTTCTCATTCTGAGATTGATAGTGCTCTTAAGAGCATTGACAACTTAAAAGCCCCTGGTATTGATGGTTTTAACTTTTTGTTTTTTAAGAAAGTTTGGAATGTTGTTAAAGATGATATTTATGCTAGTGTGCTTGATTGCTTTGAGAATGGGGTTTTGCAAAAACAATTGAATTGCACTTCTATTACTCTTGTTCCTAAAGTTCCCAATGCCTCTCATGTCAAGGACTTTAGGCCCATTGCTTGTTTCACTGTTGTTTATAAGCTCATTTCCAAGATTATTACTACTAGGCTTGCTCTTGTTATTGGAGAGGTCATTGATGATGCTCAAGCAGGCTTCATTCCTAGGAAGCACATTGGTGATAACATTCTTCTTGCAACTAGGCTTATTAAGGGATATAATCACAAGTTTATTAACCCTAGATGTATGATTAAGGTGGATTTGAAGAAAGCTTATGACTTAGTTGAATGGGATTTTCTAAAGACTGTTCTTCAAGAGCTCAGCTTCCCTTAGATTTTTATTGCCTGGATCTGGAAATGTGTAACTTCTGTCTCATACTCTATTCTCATCAATGGTATGCCTGCCCCTCCATTTGAAGCAAAGAAAGGTTTGAGACAAGGTGATCCTATGTCCCCTTTTCTTTTTGCTATTGTTATGGAATACCTATCCAGATGTCTCTACGAGCTTAGCTTGAACCCTGATTTGAATTTTCACCCTAGATGTGAAAAACTTTGCCTAACTCATATGATGTTTGCTGATGATTTGCTTATGTTTTCTAGAGCTGACAGTGAGTCTGTTAAGCTTCTTTTTCATGCCTTTTATAAGTTTTCTAAAGCTTCAGGTCTCTCTGCTAATCTTGATAAAAATGAAGTCTATTTTGGTGGTGTTTTTGTTGATATTCAGACTGAGCTTAGAGATCTTCTTGGGTCTCTCAGGGCTCTATTCCCTTCAAGTATCTTGGTGTGCCCCTTTCCTCTAAGAAGCTTACTATTTCTCAGTGTAAGTCTTTAGTTGAAAAGGTTACTGCAAGAATACAAGGTGGATGGCTAGACACCTTTCTTATGCTGAGAGGCTTCAGTTAATTAAGAGTGTTCTTTTTGGCATTCAGACATACTAGGCTCAAATTTTCATTTTGCCTAAGAAGATCATGAAGGAGATTGAAGCTAGGTTCAGATGTTTCCTCTGCACTGGCTCTTCTGCTCCTGCTAGGAAGTCCTTAAGTGTGAGGAACAGTGTCTGTCTTCCTAAAGTTTATGGTGGATGGAATCTAATTTCTCTCCCTAAGTGGAACAAAGCTGCTATCACAAAGCTTCTTTGGGATATTGCTCATAAAGCTGATAATTTATGGGTAAAATCGGTTCACATTTACTATTTCAAACATCAAGATAGCTGGACTGTCCCTATCCCTGCTAAATGCTCTTGGTTCTTAAAGAAAATTCTGAGTTGTAGAGATGTGGTGAATGATCTAGGGGGATGGGATTGCTTTATTCAAGGCAACAAAATGAAGATTAAAAAAAGTCTATTCTGCTATTAGACCTTAGGCTCCTAAGAAGACTTGGAAAAGGGTTGTTTGAAATAATCTTGCTTCCCTTAAAAGTATTTTTATACTTTGGTTGGCTTTATGGAATAGACTTGTCACTAAGGACAGGTTATTGCAATGGCATATCTCTTGTGACCCTAAATGCTTTTTCTGCTTGAAAGAGAATGAGAATGTGCAACATTTGTTCTTTGATTGTTATTTTTCTAGACTGATTTGGAGCAGAATCTTGAGCATTTTTCATATTTCTAAGCCTGCCCAGATATTTGATGAGGAAGTTGCTTGGATTTAGAAGTATTACAGGAAGTCTAGCACTAAGAGTCAATTGCTGCATGTTGCTTTCACTAAGACTGTCTATAGCATCTGGACTCAATGGAATTCTGTGCTTTTTACAGGGAGCTGCAAAATTGTTGCCAGTGTTGTGAGAGATATCATTTTTATTACCACTTGCAGGTGTCCTGAAGCTAGCAAGAAGTTTCTGACCGCTTAATTTTTGTCTTTGGTCTTTTCTTGTTTTCTTGGCCTGGTTTGTTTTGCTGTTTTCTGGTCTAGTTTGTATTTGCTCTGTCTGTGCTGCTGTTTTTGTAGCACCCTTCCTGGAAGGTGGATGCAGTGACAGTTAGTGTAGTTAGAGTAGGCAGCTTGTTTTGCTTCCTAGAAGGTGGCCTTGGTTTGCTTGCTGCCTTTAGGTTTTATTGTTTGTTTGGTGGTGCTGTTTGGCCCTTAAGGGTCTTGTGTAGTTTGGGTTGGTTTCAACTTAGCTCCTTTGTAAGTTGTAACCTTTTATCTTTTGGTAATAAATTTTCCCCCTATTTTCCAAAAAAAAGAGCAAAACGAGCATTAAGACTCTTGGCTTCCCAATATGTACTCATAGACAACGAGCTACATAAAAGGGTACCCAAGGGTCAAACTCTCTTATGTGTAGGAAAAAAGGATGCCCAATGATTAATGAGGATATTCCACGAAGGAATTTGCGGAACTCACATAAATGGCAAAATGTTAGTCCAAAAGATAATGCGAGAAGGATATTATTGGACTACAATGAATAGGGATTGCCATCAATACGTAAAAAGATGCCCTAAGTGCCAAATCTATGCCAATTTACAACATGTTCCTCCATCCTTGCTCTACACCTACACGTCGCCATGGTCGTTCTCTACATGGAGAATTGACATCATCGGCAAATCACTCCCCCAGGAACAGGATGCCACGAATATATCCTAGTGGCAATTGATTACTTCACAAAGTGAGTTGAAGCACAATCATACGCTAAACTCACTGCAAAATATGTAGCACTCTTCATCGAGAGAAATATTATTTGTCGATACGGAGTCCCACATGAAATGATAAGTGACAATGGAACTCACTTTCAAGCCGAATGTGAAGAATTGCTACAAAATTATGGCATTCAACATCATCATTCTTCCCCTTATATGCCTCAAGAAAATGGAGCAGTCGAGACAGCTAATAAAAATCTAAAGACTATCATCGAGAAAATGACAGAAAATTATAAGGATTGGCCTGTCAAACTTCACTTCGCATTGTGGGGTTATCGCACGTCAATTCGCACATCAACAGGAAATACGCCATTTTCCTTGGTTTATGGAATGGATGCCGTAGAACCTGTGGAACTAGAGATTCCATCTCTACGCATCGCGTTAGAAAGAAAAATCGATAAAGTTGAATGGACTAGAGCAAGATATGAAGAGTTAATTCTACTCGATGAAAAACGACTAGAAGCTCTGCATCACACTCAGTGTTAGCAAACTCGTATGGCTAGGCATTTTAATAAGAAGGTCAAGACAAGAAACATCAAAGTAGGAGACTTGGTGTTAAAAGCATTAAGATAAAATGGTTTAGATCCAAGGGGAAAATTTAGACCTAATTGGTCTGGACCCTACATTGTCAAAACAATCCTGTCAGGAGTTGCAGCAAAATTAACTGACATGGATGGCAATGAGTTCTCGAACATGACAAATCTTGACCAACTTAAGAAATACTACCCATAATTACTTGAGTAGGATACTCAAAGAGCTACATTTGGCCTGATTTCTTAAGAAAGGATACGTAGGCAACCCTTTACGGGTGCGGCCACTTAATTTTTTTTCAAATCTTGCATCCCAGAATTAATAAAAATTTCGACAGTAGATCGACGGAACATTGGCGTCACAGAAAAGATTCTGGCGCCAGCCGATGAACGTTAGCGCCAGACGACTAACGCCAGACTGCCGCAGCCGGCGCCATTCGTAGAATTGTGGCGCCAATTTACAGTTAAATGTCTGGGAATATTTCGGTCTTTTACGGAAAATTTTCGACTTCCGTACTCGAAAAAATTTCTGAAAAATTAATTCTTCGGTTTTCATTGCTTTAATAAAATAAATTTAAAGTGAATAATTGATCGCGGGTGAAAGTAGGTCATTGGGACTACTAACCCTAACCAAATTAGAAATTTATAATACCTAAACTTACACTAAACTAGTTAGTGGCAAGTAAAGGGTCGAACCCAAAAGGACTAAGTGTATCAATTTTTGCTAATTAGACTACTAGGAAAGCTTGTGAGATAGAGAGAGGTTCAACTAAACATAACTAAGAACAAATAACTAAAACTAGGGAAAGTGGAATCCAATCACATCAATACATTCAATAACATCATACAATTAGATGAAAACGACCTTGACTAGGAACAATCAACACATTTAACTCACTCTCGCACAATTAAGCATGTTAATTATCCTACTAAACTAATTTACTCTCGTGCAACTAGCCTAGCAAAGGTATGGAAGAATTTAGGGCTCTCAACCGACTCACTCTGGCACAATCGATTGAAAGCACAATTAGGAACATAGAATCTATTAGCTAGAAAGATTCTAATCCATAAAAGCATCATCCATACATAGTAATCAAGAAACAATTCCATACTAATCACAATCAATCATTCAATTCATTAATATAACCTTCATCTAATTCCCTAGAACAAAACCTAAGCTAACATAATGAAGAAAGACATAGAAAACAAGGTAAAATAAAAATAAAAACAAGATTAACAAATAAACTAATTAATCTACTCAAATCAATAAACAAAAAAGCATAAAACTAAGAATTAAGCAAGAAATAAAGATGAGAGAAAGTTAGAAAATGCTCATTGAATAGATGAGAAGAAGTTCCACAAAGTTGCTTCTTCAACCTCTCAAAAACTCCATGGAAATCCAAGCTTTCTCTCTCACACTACTCCTAAACTAACCCTAAGAGAGAGAAAATATAGGCTAAACTAATATAAAAATATCTAAAAATAAAATGTTGATTGATAGTCATGAGAAAATAACCCCAAAGGGGTATTTATAATACAAGTTCAATAAAAAACTAAAATAAAAGAAAGAAACTAAAAAGAAACAAAACTAGAAAAAACAATTAAAAAAAACTAAACTAAGAACCAATAAAAACAAAACTTACAATAAAATAAAATAAAAGAAAATGAAAAGGAAAAAAAGAAATCTTAAAATCCCCAAAATTCCCATCCAAACCCACGAAAACATCAGACCTCCTTTCATCTTCACTTTCGAATTTGGCTGCTCCAAACTTTCATCACTAGCAAAGAAAAATCATCATAATCACCACCGCAAATCAACATCATTATCATCTATTGTGGCCGTCCAATTTTCATTAAAAATCACGTGAAAAGCTCGTGGTTGAACCACAATTGCGCGCCGGCACAGAAGTTGCACAACAAGTCGCGCAAAGCTACTGCCTCGACTATGATTTTGGATTCCAATTGCTCGCTTTCTGACAGGAATGCGCGGCCGCGGTGGTCTGGATTGGGCGAATTTGGAGGTTCGATTGAAGCGGCTTCTCTGATTGGTGGGTGGTGAGAGTGGAATTGGACATGGGTTGCTGCGATTTTTGGCCGCTGTTGTGTCAGCTTTTATTGGTGGCTAACGGTGGGTAGAAGCGGCTGTGATTGGAGGTTGGTGGTGGCTATAAATTGGTGCGGTGCTTGATTGTGGGTGAAGGAGGCAAGGTGATGAGTTGCTACTGGTGTGCGCTGTTGCGCCTGCTAGGTGTGGGGGTCTAGTTGTGGTCATGTGAGGTGGTGAGAGCAGTTGTGCTGCTGCTTGGTGTATTGGAGGTGAGGTGGTTCGCTGCGGCTGGGTTGGTATTGGTTGATACGGGTTTTGGTGGACGGTGGTTTGGGTGGTTGATTGTGACGGTGGTTCAGGGCGGTGTGGCTGGGTGTAGGTGGTGCGGGTTGCGGTTTATGGGAGCAGGGGAATCGTGTTTGATATTGAATTCGAGACTCCATTTATGACTCAAAACTTGAGACACGAATATTGAACCTCGAACCTTGGACCTCCGAGCACAATCCTTCACAAACCAAGAAAACCGAGAGAAATAGGCACAAAAACTAAAATAAAATAAAATAAAATAAAACAAGATAAATAAAGAAAAATAAAATGCTAAAACTAAAGAAATAATAAAATAAAATAAAATGAAATAAAATAAAATAAAACAAACTAAAAACTAAAAGAAAATAAATAAAATGAGAGAAATGGGAAATTATTAACTAAAACTACAAAAATTAACTAAAAACTAATAAAAATGCAAAAATACTCAAAATAAAGATGAAAGGTTAGAATAAGTGAATAATAAAAATAAAGGATAAATAGGGTTAAATTATTAGAAAATAGACCGGAAAACGACTAAATAAACACCCTAAAAGTGACATAAAAGTCACTTATCAAACTCCCCCAAGCTAACCTTTTGCTCGTCCTCGAGCAAATTAACATGAAACACGGGAGAAGGAGAATGATTTATTCAAGCAAAGATAGAACACTAAAGGAGACAAGAATGTACACTAACTCACTTTCGTAGGAATCACGGTCAATTTTGCAACTAAAGACAAGCCCTTTAAACCCCTAGATCGCCCTAGAGG